ATGATATAAATTGCAATCTTAAATTTAAAAGAAGACATGTAACATCTAATATTGAGGAATACTCTTGATCAGGGATTCTATCTTTTTTTTAAAAAAAAAACCATCAGATTCCTCAGCTCAAAAACATTTGAAAAATTCTTAGACAAGGATCTAGTTGTATACAGGTATGTTATCCTTTTGCAAACCTGAGAGCATCTGATCATGGTAACTAAACCCCGACTGTCACACCATTTTGAACAAATGATATGGTATAGTATGTAAATTCAAAACCAGGAACATCTATTTTAAAAAATACTCTCCAAAGAGTTCTGCCTATATGTGATTAGGCCCACCTACTTTACAGTCCTTAGTCCTTGGTGGCTTACCTGGACTTTTGGAGCTAATATTTGGTGTCATAAACTTGTAAAGGGTGTATATACAATTAGGATCATTATTTTTATGGAAATTATCTAAGATTCTGGTGCATCTGTACAGCAAAACAGCATAAGGTTTTTTAAAAAATATGCACCTGAAACTGCTTTATAAAAAGTATGTATAAGAAAAGTTTGAAACCATGATTAACACTTAAATCAGAGGTGTCAAACTCGATTTCATTAAGGGCTGCATCAGGGTTGTGTCTGATCTTGGGGAGCCAGGGTGGTGTGGCCAGGATGGGCATGGCCAGCTCAACATCACTTGGCCTGCCTGAGCTGCATGTTGTCCCTCTGAGCTTTTCACTGGCAGAGAGCTGGAGACTGTCGTGGCTGAAAATGAAGCCTCTGAGGGCCACAAACAGCCCTCCAGAACTGTTTTGGCTGGCGAAGGCACTGTGGGCGGGTCCTTTGCTGTTTGCAGGGCAGCCCCACAGGCCAGATCTAAGCACCCTGTGGGCTGGATCCAGCCCATTGGGCCATGGGCCTTGAGCTTGACACCCCTGACTTAAATGGTAATTCAGGCTATAGTAGAATGGGATACCAAGGCAATAGCAAAATAAGAGATAAAAAAGTTATTTTCTAAATTGCCTAGAGCAGGGGTGTCAAACTTAATTTCATGCATCAGGTTTGTGTTTGATCTTGGGGCGCCAGGGTGGGCATGGCTAGCTCAATGTCACTCCTGTGATCATATGCTACTTTTGCTAGTTGTTTTGTTAGTTTGTTTTGCTAGCACTGCCAGTGAAAACTGAGCTCATGAGGGCTGCACACAGTCCTCCTGGGCTCTTTTCAGCTGCGATGGCCTCTTACAGCCCTTTGCCGACAAAAACAGAGCCTGTAAGAGCGGTGTGCAGCCCTCCCAAGCTCTATTTTCATTGGCAGAGGCACCATGGGCTGGTCCTTCCCAGTTCCCAGGGTAGCCCCGTGGGCCAGATCTAAGCACCCGGTGGGCCAGATCCACAGGCCTTGAGTTTGACACCCCTGTCCTTGAGGATAAGACTTAAAATGTTTCGTGGACTTTATATTTTTTATTGTCATTTCATAGACAAAATAAGCATTTTCCATTAGCTATATCATCATACATGTTCAATAGAAAAAGATTTTTGGGATATTAAAATTTGTATCTACCGAAGAATATTAGAGATGGTAAAGTGTAAAGCACTTTTAGTGTTTCACTTTTTTCTAATTTTTGTTATCTTTATAACACAAATTTCATCAGTTCAGAAGCTTTTAGCGCTGTTAATTTCTCATGTGAAATCTGCTTCTAATGTTTTTACATAGCAAAAATAATGGCTTGTACTGAAATCTATGTGCCATATTTTGTTACAGTATATTATCCAAATAACATGTCTTCAGATACCTTAAAAATAAGATTATTTTGTTCATCCAATATACACTTATTTTTTTAGAACTGATAATGGGTTGCTTTCAATTTTTACTATTATGTTTCACTTCAGTTAACTCATGATTGGACAGCTATGTTTGTATGTCCAGAAGTTAATTTTGTGATTCTAATGACTTATAAATTAGACGAGAGGTTTAAGTATTTATTTCATTTTGTAATATGATACACATTTCTAAATGCTTGAAAAAAGTTTTAAAAACTAATATTAGTTATCTGTTGTGTATGATGCAAATATATAATTTCACAGTAGAAAATCCCAGTGCTAAAACAAAAATACTTCAAAATAGCAAGAGACCGTAAGTCTGATCCTAACCTGTTCATGCAGATGTAGCATCAACATGATGTTCAAAATATCTATTAAATACTCGCATTATCTGTTCTTGATCATTTGTTCACACAGTAAGATTGGGTACATATAATATATTCAGAAACTGGAGATTTCATGGCATATTGATTGCACACAGTTATTCCTTTTACATGCAACTTTTATTTTCACATTTTTTCCTATCTGTAGAAAAAAGCGTGAGTGTCTCATTTTACTCACTTTATCATACATTTGAGTCACAAACACATTCCGTGTCACAATAAAATAAGATCCGTTTGATGATATAAACCATTTCATAAGACACAATGAAAGCTAAATTAGACTTTAGTTATAAGATCTATCTGCATAATAGTAAAAACATCAAAATAAGGAATTAAAAATGGAATTGGAAGAATAAACTTCATTTTTGTAGTACTTATCAATGAATGACAATGCCACAGGAATACACTAGGTAGATAAATTGACACACTAAAATAAAATCCTAGTGTTTTTTTAAGTAAAACCTAGTTTTTAATTTTCACTTCCTACTGATGGAGTTTAAAGAATTGTACCCAAGGCTCAAATTCCAGAACAGAAGTCATTATTGGCTGGAATACAAAGATACACTGTTCATATTAATTGCATTTTTATGTATCACTGAAGCAACATAATTTGAAATATCAGTCCCATCATTAAAAAGATATGTTGGAGTCATATCATAATCAGGATTTATGCATAAAGGATCAGAAATTGATACATGATGACTTTACTTTTTAGCTTTACTGATATGGTTAAATATTTCTTCTTAAATTCTCAGTATGTGAACTAACTTTTAGAATGCATATATTATAAATACTTGCATGGGATTGTCATCTTTGTTTCAAAAAGCTGTAATTTTTCTATGTAAAAAGTTTATATAATCAACGAACTCCCAACAATCAAAATAAACCAAATCAGAACAAAAATCAAACAAAAGTTATGTGATGATAGCATTTAAAATTCAAAAGCAACTACTTTACAGTGTATTTGATTTCTATTCCACTTTTTTGTTCAAAATTAATTATTCATTACTACAAGTACTGTATTTTTCAGACTATAAGACACACCTTGGTTTAGAGGAGGAAAACAAGAAAATAAATAATTTTTTTGTCTGCGTGAATCCCATTTTTGCCCTCCCCGACATCCAGAAGCACTCTGCAAGCCAAAAATGTGCCTGTTTTTGGCCTCTGTGGGTCCTGTTTTTGGCCTCCCCGATGCCAGGGAGCAGAGGCCTCTGGAGGCCAAAAAACGCACCCGTTTTTGGCCTGCAGAGTCTGACGCTGGGGAGGGCAAAAACAGGACACGGAGGCTTTGGGAAGCCAAAAATGGGCCCCTATTTGCTGTATAAGACACACAGACATTTCGACCCACTTTTTTGGGGGGGAAAGTGTGTCTTATAATCTGAAAAATATGGTACTTTCATTGTGCTTAAACTCTAGTCAATAGCTGGATAGTCTGTCCAGCTATCTGTAAATTCAATTCTATTGATAGGTTTACAGCAAGTTCTTGTGATAAAATATTTCTTTGACAACCCTGTTAACAGTTATATGTGCAGAACAGAATTGTACTTTAAGAACTTACTCTAGTAATGCACTATTAAAAGAACAGTTGTTTGACAAATCACGATATTCATTGCATTTCAGTTATCAAAATGTTTGGAAACAGCAATTAGCTTCTTTCCAATGGAACTAGCTGCCCTTTCTAAACATTTATTACATTATGCAGCAATATATCTATAAAATATTCTATTTAATCTTTATAAAGACAGTACATGGATGCTTGGGGTGCCAAAACTGGTTACTAGTTTTCATAAAATTGGAATACAGTAGATATTTACTGTACAATAAACTAATATATATTATAAGAAAAATATTATAGAACAAGTTTTCATGATGGAGCTTTAATTAGAATTTCCATTCACTCCAGATAATATAGCCAATCATTAAAGCAATTGCAGAAATTAAATATCTAATTTCAGAACTGACACAGCACAGTAAATAGACAAGAATGTTGCTAGTACAAATTTGATAACAGGCATTCTCATTCCTACTTTATAAGGAAATTGTGGACATTAATTGTAACTAGGAATATATTTGAAATAAATTTATTTAGAAAGATACAATCATATGTTTCTCTTAAATTCAGAATACAAAAATCTGATTATGGTAAACAAGATCAAATGCAGCCAAGAAAGAAATAATGTACTAGTAATTTTAATCTTCAGATGTCTAGAAACCTAATAAATAATCTACCTACAGCTGTCATAATTTTTGTTAACAATCTATGCATTACCATTACATCAACTCTGAAAAGGAGAATGACCAATTGTGACAATGGGATTATTTCAAAATGAAAATGGTCCCAAAATAAATATTTTGTTAAGTCATTCTTTTAAACTGGGTCATATTATGTTTTCATAGGCATCAGTGAGACTACTTTTTCCCCCCCAAAATGATTGAATGAAGTTAAACATAATGTACGTGTATATAGATGAAGCACAAATTCCTAGTTAACACATGCTGACTAGAAAATATTATAGAAGCTATGGAAAAAAAGAGCTTAATTGAGGAGAGGTAGATAATTTGTTAGAAGTATTTAGATTGAGACACTTAAATATAACATGAAATTGCATTACATTCCCATTAACAAAAACAGTAGTTAGAACTATTCAGTGTGAAAAGTTAACTAATTTAAATTTCATTAATTTCACATTACCCCACTGACAATTACTTCCATTTGTAACACATTTATGGAAATATATTCCATATAGATGGAAAAAATTCTGCACATTGGACTTGCAGAATGGAAAAGATATTACAAATACAAATTGAATATATTTTTATGTATTAAATGTTGAAATATTATTTCTATATGCACTATCATGTTCCATACTGAAATATAATTCAACTCTTAAAAACAATGCTGAACAATTTAATTTGAAAAAGCTAAACTGACATAGATCACCATCCTCCAAAATAAAAAATAAAGCTGTAACAAGGTTCAAAAAGAAAGCAAAGGAGTATAAAAACATTTGCCAAATTATATCTTGTGGTGCAGCTCATCTTCATGCAGCTTGAATTCAAGTGCCTATGCTTTTATAGCAAAGGTTTTTGATTTTTTAAAAGAAATGTAAGATCTTGGCCCAGAAGAATTATTCCCCAGGGCTTTGAGAGGATTGGGTGAAAGTAGAAAGCCATGAAGACATTACTGATTTTGCACTGGTGAGTGCTCCTCCAACTGACTGACCTGTATTAAAACAAAATAGGGGGAATGGGAGAAAAAATATATAATAGATTAAGAATATATGTCTTCTGGCTGAATAATAATATTTTATTCATCACAGTAACCATTAGGCCATATCAGAATATAAAATATAGAACAATAAGACCACAGGTAACCAAATAAAAGTAAGCATGGCATGGAGCTGAGTTATTTGAGGGACTGCTTCTCCCCAATCACATCAATCCCCTGGCGGGAAAGATATGTCACAGGTCCAGTCCATAAAGGAACATTATCTGATGGGGAGCCAGGAAAACAATTTTTTCTGCCAAAATACCTGTAACAGTTTTCAGTACTTTCACATCCGCAGCCCAGTTCCAAATGGCTCAAGGCATGATAGGGGATTGGGGACCCCTGCTCTATAACATTAATTCCCCAGAGTTCATACTGGCCCTAATTTTGATCACCTTCAAAAGGGTTGGAAACATGGCTGCCATTTGATCTGGGTAGCCAGTGATATGGTTATGGAGCTTGCCAGGTAGCAGTATTGTTAGAAAACTAAGTGCACGCTTCCACACAGGTTACGGATTAAAAATAATAATTATTGTTTCAATACTTTTAAATTGTTGTGTGTTTATTTTGTTTTATTATTTTTGTATGTGCTGTGTATGCTGTTCAGCATTACATATTTGAGTGGCTATATAAATTTAGGCAATGAATGAATGAATGAATAAATAAAAGACAGAATTAAAAGGATATATAAATCATATTTCTGCATCACCTTTATAATTTACCATAATCACATCCTCACAGTTCTCAATTGTACTGTTGTGGTTGAATAAAGGACCATATTATATATAGTATTTGGGTTCCTACCACACATGAAATATATTGTTTTAATATATGGATCCCAATAAGCCATTTTAAAAATATATCCAAGATATTGATCTGGATAATTATTTTATTAGATAATAAAGACAGGGATATTGATCTCTCTTTCTATTATACAATTGGCATTCAAATAATATATGAGTTATGACCAGAAGTCTCTTTTATTTCATAATACCCTTGTCATATGGTACTTGGTAAAAATCTTGTAATATTTAATCATTGTGTACAACGGCTGAAATTTTGCTGGAGAAATAGACCACTACGATGCTTGGGCATTTCTATATTTAAATATTTTGCAGGTTGGAAGATGACTTTATAAAAGCTGAGGGTCTTCAATGAACTGAAGGCAATTATATCTCTCTGAGCTTTTACAATATATTCAAGATTCTTTGGGCAGCAGTCTTCTTGTTTCCCAGAGACAGGTGGATAAGAAACAGGAAGACCACAACTTCTGATACAGTTTGTGACTTATGTAGTTCAACAGTTGAGAGGTCCTTGATATTCTCTGAGCTTGGTTGTTTTCTTCCAGATGTTTCATTATCCAAGATAGGAAACAATTCAAAGAGTTCTCTAGCTGAAATTCAGTCTGTACTATCAAAGCATAATTTTGGAAGTCTGTCAGTTTCCATACTTAAATTTATATATCATTCGATAGTGCTATACAACACTGTCTAAGCAATTTACAAATGTCAGCATATAGCCCCCACAATCTGGGTCTTCATTTTACTAACCTAGGAAGAATGGAAGGCTGAATCAACCTCCAGCTGGTCAGGATCGAATTCCAGGCTGTGGCAGAATTAGCCTGCAATACAGCATTCTAACCACTGGGCCACCATAGCTGCTAGCATTGATTTTGGTGCAATAATTGTGTGCGTTGATTTTAGAAAACACATTCCCAATGTGGCTCTGACTGCAACAACTGAGGTCCTTTTAGCCACATACAAAATACTTCTCATGTATTGTATGTGCTCCATAATTTGTACATTTTATTTGAATTCCATATAGGGAGTATAGGAGTACCTTTGTCTTGGTATACGTTAATAATTATGGCTAAAAATATGAATAACAGTGATTTACTAATTTTAACAAAAAAATTACATGTGTTCTCACTTTATGTGAGCTCCTTTGATGATGAGGGAGCCAAGATCCAGTCTAGAGAAGACTGTTCCTTAAAGCCACTTATGACTGCAATGTCATTTTCTAAAAAAACTCATAGTCTTTGATTTATTAATAACCAGAGAATTATGATAATAGGGAGTCAAGTCTTCTTATCTACATAATCCAATTTAGGAATAAAGGTAATCCTTAATTTAAAACAGTTTGCTTAATGAACTTTCGAAGTTATAACGGCACTGAAAAAAGTGACTTATGACCATTTTTCACACTTATGACCACAGCATCCCCATGGTCGTATGATTTATATTTGATACTTGACAACAAACTCACATTTATGATGGTGGCAGAGTCCCGGGATCATGTTATCTTTTGCAACCTTCTGACAAGCAAAGTCAATAGGGAAGTTGGATTCACTTAATAACCATGCTATTAATTTAACAACTGCGGTGATTCACTTAACCAATGTGGCAGGAAAAGTCATAAAATGAAGCAAAACTCACTTAACAAATATTTCACTTAGCAACATAAATTTTGGGCTCGATTGTGGTAGTAAATTAAGGTGCTATATGGATATCTATTAGAATATAAATTGGAGGAAGAGCATGTCAAAGAGACAATGGTGGCATGGGTCAAAAAATTTGGATATAATATTGAATTGGCTAAATGGCAGAATCTTTGGGAGAATAATAGAAAATTAACAATGGCCACAGCGTACAAGGAAAATCTATATAAATGTTTTACAGGTGGCATCTTCCCTCAGCAAGGCTTGCCAAAATATTCAAAAACTAAGGATTTGCCAGGTACATTCTAGCATACGTGGTGGACATGTAACCACGCAAGAAAATATTGACGACTGATACAGACATGGGTAGAGCAAATGGTGGGAGAACATATTCAATTTAAGCCAGAACTATTTCTCTTAGGAATAATGACAGAAAGCTACAGCAAAGGTATAATATATCTAATAATACAGCGGTGAGAATGGTCTATACACAATACTGGAAAAACAAAAATATATCACCAGAAAGAGAAATAAGGAAAATAAGTGCCTGTGCAGAATCTGATAGATTAACTTTAGCAATTGAAAAATAAGGGGGAATCAGAATATTTTGATATTTGGAGTAAGTTTTATCAATGGTTGCAAAAAAGAGGGGAAGGTCGGAACAAAAATAGTTAGAATGAATAGATCTAGAATGAAAATACTGTATCAATAATATGAATGCTAATAGTTTAATAATATTTTTGTATGTATGGCAGAATAATGCCAAAATGGTTGTACTGTGTTTGATACTTATAGTTGTAAACAATAAAAATATATTTAAAAAATTGTGGTAGTAAATTGAGGACTACCTGTAGAATTGAATATGATAATGTCATTGTCAGCTTACAGCAAAGTGTTGCAATACTTAGGCATGTGTGCTTCACGATTCTTCATCAGTATTGTTAAATTATTAATTATAAATTATATGGCACTGGTGCATGTATGCATCTCTTCCTTATTCTTTGTAAATATTGATATTGCTTGCATGATTTCACTGACTCCAAACCACAATCTCAAGCAAGGATTTTGTACAAAGGCCTGTCCAAATAGAGAGGAGTCCGGCAGAGCTGCCTCAAGTTATAACAGACAGGAATAATGAAGAACGAGCCAGGCCGACCACAAGGTCACGAGCAAAGCAACAAATTGTAATAGCTGGCAGGTTAACATCCCTCATAGAGATAAGCATTCCAGGCTGGATCTGACAAGGTAGGAACCAACAACAAGAGATAAGCCTCCTTTGACTAACATGACTGAAGCAAAAAAGTTAATTACAGATAGGAGGCTTTGGAAGGGCCTATTATGTGTGCAAGGGCTAAATTGATTAATGATATGTAAAGGCAGAGTCTCTATAATGGTAGCTTAATACTCTGACGATGTCAGCAGAGGCTGACAAAAGCTTAGTAAGTACAACAAATATAATTTTTAGTTTTGGAGATCGCAGGATGCCTGCTTCTTCTTTTACATATATATTCTTTTATCCTTATATTTTAATTTGCTACAGAATGTTTGTTTGGTTTTTGGTTTTTTTGTGGGACCTAAATGGTTCATGAATTTCCTGTGTTAAAAAATATTTTTGGTAAAATTTGAATTTATGGTTCAGCAAAAAACCCAATATTTTAAAGCTGGCCAAAGGAAGGATATTTTGCAATTGTGGAATGAAGATTTCTCCCCAATCTCTTGTTTGCAAGCCGGAATAAAAGTCAATTGTCTGGGTTTATATATAACACTAAGCCATTAGCCATATAAATTTCATCATTGCCTAATAGGATGCATAGTCCAGCCAATGAATTTGTAGCACTTTGATTCTAGTTAAGAGGATCACTTACCAACAGCTCTTCCTGTCTGCACAACATTTCGACTAGTGGTAACCATGGCATTTCCAATCTTCTTACCACGTTCACTGTTCTGAACAGAACTAAATTAAGAAATACAATAGCATGTCTTACTGGTTTCTGCTAATTTCATGTATGTAATGTTTAATAGTATTAATTATAGGCCCAACTGGCAAAAGAAAGGTCAGGACTGTATTAGATGGAAACATGCAGAAGAGGCCTTCATTCTGCAGTGGACAGACAATGGCTAAAATGATGATGATGATATGAATGTTTAAGAATATCAATTAAGCATAAATAAATTGAAGTATTAATTTATGATGCAGATAATTAGCACTAGAATGGTAAGATATTTTGAATTTGAAATATTTTGAATTTAAAATTGTTTGTTCCATTTTGGAACTGCTTGAAACTCAATCTATTGCTTTTTCAATCTCAGAATGCTTCCAGGAATTTGAACATTATTTTTATTTCTAAATATTTTTAAAACTTGGTCTATATGCCTATTTAGAAGTATCTGAATAATCTTTCAAAAAATTCTTAATTTTTCATAAAATATTGAGCATTGATCACAATCCATTTCACTTTTTAAGCCAACACTGCCATAATTGAATAATAGACTACATACATTTCCACTGTGAACAAGTTTAAAAACATAAGCAATACTTACTGTGATAATCTTAATTTTACATCAGAAACAGAATATTGTCCTTGGAATGGATGACTGAAAAGTGAGGTAGGGCAGGAGAGAGAGAGAAAAGGTAAGCTGACAAACCATTTCATATACTTTCTCAGTTATAACTATGAACCATTACTTTTGTGTGAAATGGGATACATTAAAACATTTTGCCTCCCCTCTTCTTAGGAGTCAATAATCTAAGTATTTCCTGTCTTTGGGAACCAGGGATGTGATTCAACCGGTGTAACAACTGGTTTGGTGAGTGCACGCTTTGCCTGCGCACAGAGGGTTTGCTACTGACCTTCTCCTGCAATCCTGCACTCTCTCCCTGTGTGTTAAACAGCTGATGCCCGGCAATCCTGCTACTTCAATAATTAGCTAGGTACTATTAAGGACAAAGGAAGTTGAACACTTTCTGGCTTATTACTTGAGCTCAACAAATCAGGAATAATTTGTCATATTTGCAGAATCTTTCTCAGCGGAAGAAACAGAAGATTTTACCACCAATGATATTAAGCAAAAACACTCCCAAATTATGAGAAGTTTATCACTATCACCATAACTTTTTCATTTCCATATAAATTGATATAATCTTACCTAGGATTTATTTCTGCAAGGGCTGGGTGTTTATTACTGTTCCACACTCTATAATTATGAGTATTCTTCCAAGCTGCTACGAAGGCTGTTCCAAAGTCAGACAATATTTTCTCACTATCTGCTAAATAAAATGAGCAAAATGACTGGGTTGTAATACTTTCTATCCTTTAGACATACCTACTGATTGTGGTCTGTTCTTAAGCAATAAAAGAATTTATACCTTCTGCTCAGTGAAATACTAGTTTATTTCTAAAGGGCTAATTTTGAAATAGAAGAGCAATCTCAGATTTGCTGAGAAAATGAAGACAGATTTTTTTCCTATGTAATCTTCCTTTAATAGGGAGGAGGCAAAACTAACTTGAATTTTGAATTTAATATATTAAGAATTTTATTTCACTGTGATAGTGTTGGAAGTTATGATTCCCCCCTCTTCTAGGGAAACAGCCCCCACCCTTTGTCAAGTAGGGCTATTAAAATAGCTGGAGTCATCTTACTTTTCACAACAAAGGAAGGAGAAAATTACAGCCATGAGATACAGAGAAAACCCCCTACAAACTAGCTAAGATCTTTTCCCATAGAAATCAAATAGATGGCAAGTTATAAAAACTTGTGAAAAGCAAACCAAAAGGCATGGCAGGAAGGAAACATGATAGCAAACAAGCAACTACAAAGGACCAGGACCATAAAACCAAGATCCCAAAGAGACAGGAATTCAACACACACAAATCAAAGTCTTCAAAGATTCACACCTACAAATCAAAGAACCTGAAGTGTATAAAAGAGAGGTTTTTCTACTCACTTATTAGATTAATCCTAGGAACACTGTCAGATTTCTTACCTGCCTTCCTATAAATAAACTGATTCTGACTTCCAAGCAGCTGACCAAATCATTTTGCATTTCTCCCAGCCTGGAAATTTGAATCCACAAAAGGAAAGAACTTTGCCTATTATTTAAAGGGCAAGACTTCTTTTTTCCTTTCCTCAATAGCATAAAACTATCATAAGACTGATGGATACAGAAATATCTAGTCAAGGAACAAAATGCTTGAAAAAGTTGATAGTTTCTTTTTATGCCAAATTTTTCCTGCATATTCCAAAACATGCATGATTTAATTCTAAATTATACAGATGACAAGTGCTACTAAAAGTAGTTTCTTCTTTGAAAGGGCTACTGTTGATGGCTCCCTACCCAAACAGAAATGGGATTAGAGTGATTTTTCAAATGTAATCAGCAAAAGTATAAATGTATCTTCACTCAAAAAAGTAAACACATCAATTTTACTTTACAAAATTCAAATCACCCATTATTCCATCCAGAAGAATATAAATATCCAGGAAAAAGAATTTTGCAATTATTCAATTGGTTTTGAAGAACTAAATATAGTTTCTTTTCATGTATCCTGAGCATAATCTCTCTCAGCATAGGACTATTTAGAAAGAGTTTTAACAATATTTTAATTTTTACTAGTGTGAATTTTGTGTTGCTCTCAGAGAAAAACTAGCCCGTTTCTTTAAGCTTCAGACCCTTGTTGGTAAGGATTACAAATGAAATGGTTAAATACAGATTTAACATTTAGATCAGATGCATTGAAATAAGTGGAAAAGTTAGTCATAACACAGTTAATCAATTTCAGCTAATCTACTCCAGAGGTTTTAACCATGACTAAATCTCGATTAATCCAGTGAAGACAAAAATTTCAAGACTATATTGCAAGGGCAGTTGAGATGAACTTGTACAGAACATTGAAGTATTATGTCTCAATGCCACACATAGTTTGTGCTCTATCAATTTAGTTTCTCAAAAGCCATTTTCACAATAACTCATAGACTAATTAGTCATGGGAATATATAAATGATCAATATTTTTTAACAGGGAAATGTCTTTCAATCAATAATTAAGCTGGCCATATCCTACTCTCTGGATTTTTTTTTGACTTTCCTTTTCTAGATTCTCCTGGACAATTACGAAGTATTTTGTAAGATTGTTTAAACTTACAGATCAAAATATTCCAGAACTTACCTGGCTGTACTGTAGCAGCAAGTAGGGCATGGAGATATAACCCAAATTGGGCTCGAATCCATTCATCCCCTCCTTCCCAGCCAGTGCCATCCAGGAAGACATCATCCCTGTTTTCAGTTACATGCTTCACTAAGAAATCTGCAAATCTCAAGTCAGCTGTTGTAGGATTTAAGACTTTTCTAAGGTCTGGATCATGGACTTGGACAAGAGCTTCCTCAATCTGATTGAGAACAATTCAAAGTGAAAAAACTTTGGGGTAGAGATGGTGATTGAAACAACACAAAATGTAATCATAAACATATTATTATTTCCATCTTACCAAAAGTACACTGTAATTAATATCTAGTGATATATTATTGGGCACAAATACATACATAATGTAATGTAAATGATTATGTTGGCTTCTGAGTTTAATAGCATATGCAATCATTTGTACTTATTTATTCCAATTTCTAAAAGTAAGCAAGCTGCCTTTTTCATCTTGTATGGAAAGATTTCAGAATGCATCACAAATTCATTGTAGTCCAGGCAACCTGATTCTCCTGTGCTCACATCTAATTCTATCAAACCAAGAAGTAGAAATCTAGTGTAACTAAAAGCACTCCAAGAAATAGTAACTATCAAGAGACTTAAGTATTCAATGATTTACAAGGAGTTATGAAAGCTTATTTTAAGAAACAATACATAGATTTGTAATGTGTTAACTAGCTCCTAATGCAATCTTTTTTTTAGATCTTTGAATAGAAAGGTCCATTAGTTTAATTTTGGCATTTCAACAGTGACTAAATGCAGTCTTGAAAATATTTTTTAAACATGTTTACCATCTATTATTGATAAATTTATCCACAAAGAGAATCTTATCTACACTTGTATGCATGCATGCATGCACATATACACACATAACATACATACTTAAACACATAAGGAAATGTATCACTTGTCTGCCGTGTGATTATAAAATGACTGCTTTCCAAAATCTCAAATATTTTTTTATAAAAATCTAAGAAACTTTTTAATTAGAACCTTGCAATACATAAGTTGTCTTTTGCTCCATGAAGTAATTACTATAAGAAATTATAACGGAAAGAATATACACCTCTACAATAGCATCACTTAGATGTTTCTGCTGACGGAAGAGGATATTGGTGGCTCCTGCAACAAAACCGCGGATTGTTACATCAGAGAGAAGGTGGTGCTGTTGCAGCGCCATGTATGGCAAGCAAAGGTATCCCTAAAATAAAGAAAAATATTAATCATGGATGAAATTATAATTTAGAAAGACAGAAGGATTGGAGGAACAATTTTAATGTACAATATAAAAGCAATGGTTATAATTTACTGCATTAGCTATTGCTTATTTACCACTCTGGGATTTTTGTTTTAAAGAAACAATAGATGATTATTTCATTGAATTAACCTATTGCCTTCACTAAGAAATCCAAGCAGTATAAAAAGGCTGGTGAAGGAAGGGGAATGGAAAAAACTTGCCTTTTCCAATGTTGCTGAACATTTAGATCAGGGGTGTGAAACTCGATTTCATTGAGGGCTGCATCAGGTTGTGTTTGACCTCAGGGGGCTGGAGTGGGCATGGCTAGTTCAACGTCACTTGTGTTGGGGGTGCCTGTGTGGCCAAGTGCTAAGGCAGGACTTTCCTCAGACCATCCCTCACCCTCATTATAATCTTCCTTCCTTCCTTCCTTCCTTCCTTCCTTCCTTCCTTCCTTCCTTCCTTCCTTCCTTCCTTCCTTCCTTCCTTCCTTCCTTCCTTCTTTCCCTCTTAATTCTCCTTTCTTCCTTCACCTCTTCCCTTATTTTTCCTTCCTTGCTCTCTTCCCATCTTTTCTTCTTTTTCTTTTTCTTTCCTCTTTCCTTTCCTCCTTTCCTGTCCCTTATTGCACGCTCAGATGCAAAAGGGGAAACATTTCTCCTTTGTTTTGTTTTTAGTTTGTTTTTGCTGCCCTTTGCCAACAAAAATGGAGCTCCATTTTCACTGGCAGAGGGCTGCAGGAGGCTGTGAGGGCAAGCAGCTGCTGCTTGTACAATGCCAAGCGGTCACCGCTTGCAAGAGGGGAAGTTCATGCCCACACATGCGCTCGCTCCAGCACCTGCATGGCTCGGTTCCAAACAGGCCGCAGTTGGAGACCCTGCTTTACAGCACTAAGCCAGACTGACTGGATTTGTCAATAGTTATCAATGCCAATTGATGCGTTATAACACTTAAAATGTTCGTCTAAGACTGTTGGGTCCAAGTTCAATTCCATTTTCAAATATATAAATCCACTGGTTCATTTACTCTCTGTCATCCCAATCTACTCAAAGATTTATTGTGGAGATAAAATGAAGAGTGATTTCCATGACAGCTACCTTGAGTATCTGGACAAAAACTACTTATAAATTAATTCATTTTGGGAACTGAAGTCCATACATCTTAAATTTGCCAAAGTTAAAAAACAACAAATTATCCAATAAAATAAATCAAACCTCATATTTATTAGCACATCTTTCTATGAGACTGTCCTCAAAATTAATCTGGAAATTGTACTTAGTGTGAAATGTGTCATATCGTTTCCAAATCACTGTCAATTCCTTTATGAGCACAATTTCAACTGTTGGTGATAATCCTAAATAGTTTACAGCCAGATTGTTCTTCAGATGCCTCCATACTAGAGGTGGTATTCAACCGGTCCACACCGGTTCACATGAACTGGTAGCGGTGATTTGGTGTGGGTTGCTGAACCGGTGGCCACGCCCCCAACCCGATCGCCCAATCGCTCCCTGCCCCTAGCTTTCCCTATGTGGCAGCTATGGCGCAGCTTGGGTGGATGTCCCAGGACTGCTGCACATGCGCACTACACATACAATGTGCATGTGCAGCAGCCCCGGGACATCTGCCCGCCCTCCCGGAGCACGTTTTCTTCCTTCTCCCGGTGGATGCGCCACTTCTAGCCCGGCTGGCCCAGCCAGCAGGTGGGTGGGTGGATATCCTGGGGCTTCTCGCCCTCTTGTCGCGAGATGCCTGTAGCTATGGTGTGCTTTTTTCGGTGCGGCTGCAGTCCCACAGCTGCACCGAAAAAAGCATGCCCTGTTCTATGTGCCAGGCCTGTGAAGCTGGTGCATAGAACAGGGCGGCGCCAGACCATTGGAGAAGCAGAGCAAAGCCGGAGATCAGTAGCCACCTCTTTTGCAGTGCAAGAAGCCTCCCCGAATCAGCCGGATGGTCATCTCCTTCTCTGCCTATTTGTTCTGTATGGCCAAGGAGGAGACCAGCCAGCCGATTCGGGGAGGATTTCTGTGCTGAAAAGGGGGCTGGAGACTGAAAAAGAGTCACCTCCAGCAGCCGCCCCTTTGGCCACCTGATCTCCTCCTCCTCGGCCATACAAAACAAACAGGTGGAGAAAGTGAAGACCAGCCGGCCGATCTGGGGAGGATTTCTGTGCTGTGAAAGAGGCAGCTACTGATGTCTGGCTCCGCTCTGCTTCTCCAATGGTCTGGTGCTACCCTGTTCTATGTGCCGGCTGCTCGGACTTGCCGGGCCCGGCACATAGAACAAGGCATGCTTTTTTCGGTGTGGCTGCTGGACTGCAGCCGCACTGAAAAAAGCATGCAGCAGCTGCAGGCATCTCGTGACAAGGAGGGGGCAAGAAGCCCCAGGGCATGTGGTCACCTGCTGGCGGGCCGGGCTGGAAGGGGTGCATCCATCAGGAGAAGAAAGCATGCCCCAGGAGGGCAGGCGCCGTGCAAGCAAGCAGATGTTCTGGGACCACTTAAAGGTCGACTTTAATAGCGCCCCCATGGAAGCCGAGAACTGAGAGCAAATGTAGTAGTGGCAGGGGTGATGGGCTGTGTGTCCTTTCACAAGGAGTGTGAAGGGAGGCAGACACCACACCTCTGAAGAAAAGAGGAGGCGCCAAAGCCCTGACTGTCACCCAGGAGGGGACCATGGAGGGATCCATCACATGCCCCTGTCGCCCCCGCCACCACTACATTTGCTCTCATTCTCGGCTTCTTCCATGGGGGTGCTCTTAAAGTCAATCTTTTAAGAGCTGGAAGACTTTTCATTAGATTGCTGCCAACTTATCATTGGGAGCGGTATAGCTCCTGAATTCATGACAAGTCTTGGGCAAACTTCTCTTGACTTTTAAAACGCATCTGCGTGGAGTCTGCCTCTCTTCACGCTCCTTGTGCACGCCAGGAGTGCCTAACCAGAGTGAGAGAGAACGAAGTTGACTGCTATTAGGAGAATGCCTTGGCTTCCCCTCTTGCTCCTCATAGTCGCTCTGAGCAGGTGCGGTTCTTAACTTGGGCAGCCAGACAGCTGCAGCAGCACCCGCAGCAGCAACAGGCAGTGTTGCAACAAGGTACAGTAAATTTTAGCGGTGCAAATTTATCTCCGAGGGGCTTCTGGCAAAAAACAAAACAAAAACCACCCCAAAACAAAACCCATTTGGCAGGCAGACTTGGCAGGCAGTCGTGATTTTTAGTTGGGCTGTTTTTTTGTCATCCCAAGGGCGGGGGGGGGAGGTATGTAGGAAATCACCCTGTTTCTGCAGCATTGCTCATGTGACTGAGTGGGAATGGCTAACTCAACACCGCACCACCTTGCCAAGTTGGCCACGCCCACCTAGTCACGCCCACCAAACAAGTCATGCCCACAGAACCGGTAGTAAAAAATTTTGAATCCCATCTTTGCTCCATACTCAGAGGCTCCATTCTGTCTGTCTGCCTATCTATCTACACACACACACACACACACTTGAGGGAAAGCTGTAGACTCTTCTATGCCACCATGCCTTCTGATTACGTTTAGTTATTTGTACAAGAAGGAGTTTCTTCTGTTTTGCTACATGACTATGGAAAATGCTTCTTCAGGAGCTATGTTTGGTCCCTATTTTCTCTAAATTTAAAGCAGCAACCAAGACAGAGGTTTTAACATCAGTTTTCAATTGTTTAGTTTACTTTACTTTATTGTCATTGCACCTCATACAACGAAATCAAACACCATCTTCAGTGCACGTCATGACCATGACCATGAAAATAAACACAAACACACATCCTTCACGCTTCACACATTGAACCGGAAACCCCTGACACCCCACCAACACTGCACTATACAGCAGAATTCAAAAGAGCTACTGCCCTGGGATAGAAGCTGTTTTTCAGACTATTTGTCCTTGTTTTTATTATTCTGTACCGTCTGCCAGATGGTAATAGTTCAAAAAAAGGGTTCCCAGGATGAGATGGATCTTTGAGAATGTTTTGAACTTTTTTAAGGCAGCGGGAGCTATAAAGCTCTTCCAAAGAGGGGAGAGGGCAACCAATGATCTTCTGGGAAATGGCATTAACCCTCTGGAGTGCTTTCCTATCTGCCACTGTGCAATTGGCAAACCATACAGAGATGCAGGTTGCATCACCTGCAAATTTAGCAATAATATTACTAGCACGAGTGGGAATGCAGTCATGCACATAAAGAGTATAGAGTAAGGGACTCAACACGCAACCCTGTGGTGTACCAGTGTTTAGAATAAGGGCTGAAGAGGTATGATTGTCTAATCTGACCCTCTGTGAGCGGCCAGACAGGAAATCCATAATCCAAAGGCAGATTGAATTAGAAAGGCCAAAGTCCAGAAGTTTAGACACTAGTCTATGTGGAAGAATTGTGTTAAACGCGGAACTAAAATCCACAAAAAGCATCTTCAGATAGCCCCCCCTCGCTGTTCTAGATGAGTCAGAGCAGTGTGAAGACTGATGGCTATAGCGTCCTCTGTAGATCTATTTTTTTCTGTATGCAAACTGGTGTTTATCAAATGTATGTGGAAGACCAAAAATGATGTGCTAGCAGAGCAATTTCTCACAGCACTTCATGATGATAGGAATGAGTGTCACTGGTCTGTAATCATTGAGGTTATTGATAGGGAACTTCTTTGGCAGAAGAACAATGGTGGAAGACTTCAAACAAGATGGAATAGTGGACTGGGATAAAGACCGATTGAAGATCCTGGTAAAGACTCTAGCCAACTGATCAACACAGTCTTTAAGCACTCGGCCAGAGATACCATCAGGACCGGCAGACTTTCTAGGGTCCACAGCCCTCAGAATGCTGCTCACCTCCTGTTCCTCCACAATGAGGTGGGGGCTACAATTGGCTGGTGGTTGTGTTTTATCTGTCTCTGATGTCCATTTCAAAGCAAGCAAAGAAATGATTCAGTTCCTCAGCCAATGAAGCATCCCCTC